TTCATCAAACACTGCGATGACGCTCTCTATGGCTTGATCCGACTTAAGGTTTGGAAAAACTCGATTTGTTTTTCTACATTTCATTTGAGAACCTGTTTTATGAAATTAAAGTGCTCAATCTGCCGTAGCTGGATGAAAAAGAAGGTTTATGTATTATTATTTTTTAAATTGGTTAGTAATATAATACATTGAATCCATTATGTATATATTTTGTTTAAACGATTAGGATGTGCCCAGGGGTGCCAGCTCAGGGTGCCAACTCAGGGGTTCCAGCTCAGGGGTGTCAGTACCAACTCAGGGGTGTCAGCTCAGGGGTACCAGTGCCAGCTCAGGGGTACCAGTGCCAGCTCAGGGGTACCAGTACCAGCTCAGGGGTGCCAGCTCAAGGGTACCCAGTATCAGCTCAGGGGTGCCAACTTAGCGGTACCAAGACCAGCTCAGGGGTACCAGTACCAGCTAAGGGGTGCCAGTACCAGCTGAGAGGTAACAACTCATGAGCACCAGTACCAGTTTAGGGGTGCCAGTACCAGTTTCAGGGTGCCAGTACCAGCTCAGGGGTGCCAGCTCAGGGGTTCCAGTGCCAGCTCAGGGGTACCAGTGCCAGCTCAGGGGTACCAGTACCAGCTCAGGGGTGCCAGCTCAAGGTTACCCAGTATCAGCTCAGGGGTGCCAACTTAGCGGTACCAAGACCAGCTCAGGGGTACCAGTACCAGCTAAGGGGTGCCAGTACCAGCTGAGAGGTAACAACTCATGAGCACCAGTACCAGTTTAGGGGTGCCAGTACCAGTTTCGGGGTGCCAGTACCATCTCAGGGGTGCCAGCTCAGGGGTACCAGTGCCAGCTCAGGGGTACCAGTGCCAGCTCAGGGGTACCAGTGCCAGCTCAGGGGTACCAGCTCAGGGATGCCAGCTCAGGGGTACCAGTACCAGCTCAGGGGTGCCAAGTCAGGGGTACCAGCTCAGGGGTGCCAACTCAGGGGTGCCAGCTCAGGGGTGCCAGCTCAGGGGTACCAGTGCCAGCTCAGGGGTACCAGTGCCAGCTCAGGGGTACCAGTGCCAGCTCAGGGGTACCAGCTCAGGGATGCCAGCTCAGGGGTACCAGTACCAGCTCAGGGGTGCCAAGTCAGGGGTACCAGCTCAGGGGTGCCAACTCAGGGGTGCCAGCTCAGGGGTGCCAGCTCAGGGGTACCAGTGCCAGCTCAGGGGTACCAGTGCCAGCTCAGGGGTACCAGTGCCAGCTCAGGGGTACCAGCTCAGGGATGCCAGCTCAGGGGTACCAGTACCAGCTCAGGGGTGCCAAGTCAGGGGTACCAGCTCAGGGGTGCCAACTCAGGGGTGCCAGCTCAGGGGTGCCAGCTCAGGGGTACCAGTGCCAGCTCAGGGGTACCAGTGCCAGCTCAGGGGTACCAGTGCCAGCTCAGGGGTACCAGCTCAGGGATGCCAGCTCAGGGGTACCAGTACCAGCTCAGGGGTGCCAAGTCAGGGGTACCAGCTCAGGGGTGCCAACTCAGGGGTGCCAGCTCAGGGGTGCCAGCTCAGGGGTACCAGTGCCAGCTCAGGGGTACCAGTGCCAGCTCAGGGGTACCAGTGCCAGCTCAGGGGTACCAGCTCAGGGATGCCAGCTCAGGGGTACCAGTACCAGCTCAGGGGTGCCAAGTCAGGGGTACCAGCTCAGGGGTGCCAACTCAGGGGTGCCAGCTCAGGGGTGCCAGCTCAGGGGTGCCAGCTCAGGGATGCCAACTCAGGGGCGCCAGCTCAAGGGCGCCAGTGCCAGCTCAGGGGAGACAGCCAAGGAGTGCCAGCGCAGGGGTTCAACAGATCCACAACTCATCTCTTAACCCCCTTTAATAAACACCAAAGAAAAAAAACTAGATACTTTTGTGTTTCATTTATTTTCAAATTTATTTTTTTATTTTCAATGTTTAGGGAATTATTTGTATTTAAATGTTTGCCCTTTTAGGACAGGGTGTAAGAAAATTAACTTTTAGCCTACTACAACATCTTATCAGATGACGTAACGAGCTATAGTCAGATGACATGACATTATAATCAGATGACATGACCTGCTATGACATAATCAGATGACATGACCTGCTATGACATTATAATCAGATGACATGACCTGCTATGACATAATCAGATGGCCTGATCTGATATGACATTATAATCAGATGACATGACCTGCTATGACATAATCAGATGGCCTGATCTGATATGACATTATAATCAGATGACAAGGCCTGCAATGACATTATAATCAGATGACATGACCAGCTATGACATAATCAGATGGCCTGATCTGATGACATAATCAGATGACAAGGCCTGCTATGACATTATAATCAGATGACATGACCTGCTATGACATAATCAGATGACAAGGCCTGCTATGACATTATAATCAGATGACAAGGCCTGCTATGACATTATAATCAGATGACATGACCTGCTATGACATTATAATCAGATGACACAACCTGCTATGACATTATCATCAGATGACACAACCTGCTATGACATTATCATCAGATGACATGAACTTCTTTAACATGATAAGAGTGCTGGACTGTGATAAAGCTATAGATTAATGAGACACAAAAATTATTGTCAGATGATATGATCTGTGTCAAAATAGTCAAGATGACATAAACAGCTATAAAATTATAATTAGAAGGCATGACATTTGACATAATCAAATGACATGAAATCATAAAGAAAACATCTGCCTAGAATTGGACTTGGTTTATCTCTAATATTTAAAAAAAAATTCTTGGTGTTTATTTGGATTTTTAAAAATGTATTTTCTTACAAAAATCAACATGTGGGTCCTATCACATTGTAATCTAAGTCAATATCTTAAACCTTCATAGGCCAAGCCCTTCCCAAGTGAGGAAGATCTCATTGACCGTCTGGACGTGGGGATGCAATGGGAGGAATACAAGCAGCGGATGGTGACTGAATTTCTCCAGGGCCGTCGACGGATTCAGTGACCAGCAGACTGGCGTGCAACAGTTTCTCAACATCTGAACCATTTATTTATTTCATTGATTTCAAGACAAACCCAAATTGACTTTTGCAACAGCCACTTCATATAAACAGCAGTATCAAAAGCTTTACCCCATATGGTGATGACTCATTACTTATATAGTGCTTATATATGCTGGTCTGGAACTTGATTTGGTTCAATCAATAAGTAACAATAGTTTAACCAGTCAAATAACCATTATTAAATTATATTGTTTTGTAATGTTTTAACAATTTTTTTTTAAATATTCCGCTCTTGAATTTAGTGACTTTCTGGAAAGAGGAGATGTAATATTAAATTATGTATCCACCATCCACCATCCGCCATCCATCATGCGTGAGACATGGTAAATTATTTCACATTGCACATTTCTGTATGAACAAAAAATTGTAAGGTACTCATCAAATCCTGTAAGAGGAAAATTTATAAAAATTATTTATTTTTAAATTAATATTAGAAATGAAGGCAAATTATTAAAAGTTATACGTTAAATCACACTGCAACATTTGTAGGTCAGAGCTGTTCAAGGTCAGTGTAAAGGCCTCAAAAGGGTTCTCATTTCTGTCAGTGTAAAGGCCTCAATTGGAGTGCACACTTCTATCAATGAGAAAGCCTGCACTGGCGTGTGTCTAGATGTCATCCAAAGGAATCAACATTTGAATAGTTCAGCTGTGTAACCCTTGAATCTCTTCCAATATAAGAGTGATCTGGACTTGAATGAAGCTCTCCAAAGACGGAACACTCTCTTCAACCACCTCACCGTAGTAATCAATGATCTAGTAACAGGAAAGTTGGAATTAAGAAATGAATCATTGACACTCTTTGCCTTACTTTGAGTTCTTTATAAAAGATATAAATAAATAATTGCATTCACTTTGAGATTGTTTAGCATTTCAAATATTAAATTGACATGGAAAGAATGCATGAGTAGGAATGAAGAGTTTTGTGTCACTGATTTTTCTGGAACTATCACAAAATTAACGCCTCTCACTGAGATTTTGTCCACAAATCTATGACAATTTTAAAGTTTAAGTCATTTATAACATCTCACGTTTCAACACAATAAGTTTTTGGTTTTGTAACATCATGTCATGGAGACCACAATAAATTGCAATAAGAATTGAATAAATTATTGTTCTGATTTTTTTGTGTAACCGTTAAAATTGAAAATTAATTTAATGATAGTATTAGTCATTTCCCCTTAAATGACACAGCTTTTTTTGTGTTTCATAACCTGTGAGTAATTAGGTCCACTAGGAAAGCTTTCAAATTTGAAATGACCTTAAACTGTGCATTGTGATTCTACAGTTAATACTATTTGACTAACATATAGATCATTTGGATTGTATGCAGTGAAAGTCTTAGCCAGGTGAAACTGTTTTGACCATTATAAGAATAAAAGGAATCATGGGATGGATCTAAATTTAGGAAACATAATTTTTAATTTCAATTTAGATGGAGATATTTCCCCAAAAGTTAGATTGCCAAATCAATAAAACAAATTTGCTGACAAATATGTAAATCTTTAATAAAATTTCCTGACACATTTTTAAATTCAAATTTTATTTATCATGAATGAAAAAACATTTTTTTTAAAATATGGCATATGACTATGTCTCTGTCAAATACATAACTCTGTCATGAAATACCTAATCCTATATGTAGCATTACATTGTATGGCATTTTCACCAGTGTTTACTTTCTCCTGATTATGATCATACAAGTTTAAAACAAGCAAGACAAAGAAAGAACGAATGCTGAGATTTGCCCTTTTCTTGGCTTCAAAAGACTTAAGTAAAATCTGTGGTTCAGGGCCGGTCGGGTTAGCAGGGTAGAGTGCTGGGGAAGACTCTGGCTCAATTGTTTACTGATTTACTTAAGTAAGTTAGTGCAATCTCTAATGTTTTATGGACATCAAACATTTTTCACCGAACGTCATGGATAAGTCCACCTACCTTGAGAGATCCGTGAGCCACTGTGACTATTTCTTGCAGATCCCCGTCCTCTACAAAGTCACAGTAATTGAGAGACAAGTTTTGCAGTTCTGTGCAGTACATCATGGATCTGTGTGGCAGGCATGGAAGCTCTGAAAGCTGATGAAGTATTGATATGAGGCCTTAGTTGTGATGTCTTGATGGGAGGCCTCAGTTGTGATAGACTGATGGGAGGATTTAGTTGTGATGTATTGATGGGAGGCCTCAGTTGTGATAGACTGATGGGAGGATTTAGTTGTGATGTATTGATGGGAGGCCTCAGTTGTGATAGACTGATGGGAGGCCTCAGTTGTGATAGACTGATGGGAGGATTTAGTTGTGATGTATTGATGGGAGGCCTCAGTTGTGATAGACTGATGGGAGGATTTAGTTGTGATGTATTAATAGAATGCTTAGTTGTGACCATTTTAAACCCTTAGATAGCAACTGCTAGTTTTGTTTTTTTCTCTTTTAAAACATAAGGACATTTTTTTAGATTATTACATTTCAGGATGCTGTTCACCCTTGGGTCATTTTAAGAGGTCATTTTAAGGGGTCATTTTAAGGAGTCATTTTAAGGGGTCATTTTAAGGGGTCATTTTAAGGGGTCATTTTCCAAGTGAGAATGTTTCTTTCAATTGTTGTCAAGAAAACTCTTTCAATATGTGATTATTAAACATATCATATAAGTATAAAGTATAATGCTTCAAAGATTAAATTTCAGACAGAGATTGACATGTTCTTTATCCCCATTTGATAGGTTTGCCAGCGTCTATACAAGCAGTTTTTCTACACAGATAAATCTCTTACAAACCGTTATAATATTTGTAGTTTGTACCTTTATAATAAAATCATTCAGGCTAACTTTATGAGCAAGGATTTTCTTATTCACAGCTTCTGTCAAGAATTTCTTCAGTTCATCTGGCACTGGAATTTTTAAAATAAAATAATACAATTTTCAGGAAAAAGTTATTTAAAAATCAAAAACATTTTTTAATATTTAATAAATTTAAGGTGAAAGCTCCTACGGCTACCCTCCCAACACATTTCATTAGAATATTTGCAGCACATCTCCATGACACATCACTCCACATATTAATTGAATGTCAGTAAAGCTACCATTTGTTTGAGCAATAACCGGTGAACTACATCCATATATTACAGCTATGCCAAACCGACCAGTAATTATTTGAAGGAATGGTGCTGACGTGATCTTGAGACCCTCTAAAATAGCAGTGGTCAGGCGTCTACAATTGCTCAGTAAGGCTTGAATAGATTGATTGGTCAGACCTGAAATAGCATGCATCAATGGTGGATTAAATATGTGTTTACATAAAATCATCATTCAAGTGAACGGGTTAAGGGTATTGACAAGTGTTTTGTTTAACGTCATTGGGTTCAAAGTTCATTTCTTAGGTTCAAAGTTCAATTCCTAGGTGCAAAGTTCAACACCTTTTTAGCCCTGTTGCTCTGGCAATTTCATATCATTAATTCAAGCACACATTATGTTGCTATTTACTAAAAGGAATGAACAAGTCGTTTGGGATTTTTAAGGGGTCATATTTTAGGATAGGTTGAACTAAATTTGTGATTAGTGACTAATAAAATTGATATTTCAAAATATTAAGGATATAAGCTTATCAAAGTCTACGGGTAATTTAAAGTAATTTTAAAAAACTGAAAAAATACTGTTGTTAATTAAAGATTAAAAAATCCAAAACTCATTTCTTGAATTAAAAATTATATAAAATGACGCAGTGAAGTAAGTTACATGTAACAGCACTCAAGACATTTTTACTATTATCACCATTTAATAAAGGAAACAAGTTTATCTAAATGACGCAGTGAAGTAAGTTACATGTAACAGCACTCAAGACATTTTTACTATTATCACCATTTAATAAAGGAAACAAGTTTATCTAAATGACGCAGTGAAGTAAGTTACATGTAACAGCACTCATGGCATTTTTACTATTATCACCATTTAATAAAGGAAACAAGTTTATCTAAATGACGCAGTGAAGTAAGTTACATGTAACAGCACTCATGGCATTTTTACTATTATCACCATTTAATAAAGGAAACAAGTTTATCTAAATGACGCAGTGAAGTAAGTTACATGTAACAGCACTCATGGCATTTTTACTATTATCACCATTTAATAAAGGAAACAAGTTTATCTAAATGATGCAGTGAAGTAAGTTACATGTAACAGCACTCATGGCATTTTTACTATTATCACCATTTAATAAAGGAAACAAGTTTATCTAAATGATGCAGTGAAGTAAGTTACATGTAACAGCACTCATGGCATTTTTACTATTATCACCATTTAATAAAGGAAACAAGTTTATCTAAATGATGCAGTGAAGTAAGTTACATGTAACAGCACTCATGGCATTTTTACTATTATCACCATTTAATAAAGGAAACAAGTTTATCTAAATGATGCAGTGAAGTAAGTTACATGTAACAGCACTCATGGCATTTTTACTATTATCACCATTTAATAAAGGAAACAAGTTTATCTAAATGACGCAGTGAAGTAAGTTACATGTAACAGCACTCATGGCATTTTTACTATTATCACCATTTAATAAAGGAAACAAGTTTATCTAAATGATGCAGTCAAGTAAGTTACATTTAACAGCACTCAAGACATTTTTACTATTATCACCATTTAATAAAGGAAACAAGTTTATCTAAATGATGCAGTCAAGTAAGTTACATGTAACAGCACTCATGGCATTTTTACTATTATCACCATTTAATAAAGGAAACAAGTTTATCTAAATGATGCAGTCAAGTAAGTTACATGTAACAGCACTCATGGCATTTTTACTATTATCACCATTTAATAAAGGAAACAAGTTTATCTAAATGATGCAGTCAAGTAAGTTACATTTAACAGCACTCAAGACATTTTTACTATTATCACCATTTAATAAAGGAAACAAGTTTATCTATTTTTGTCTCCTCAATTATTTCCCAAAGCAACCTTTTTTTTTTTTCCTTCATGATGGCAGTGATAAATTATCAATCAGTTATAATAACATAAAACTTGAAACAGGTCAAAACTTGAAACAAGTCAAAACTTGAAACAGGTCAAAAACTTGAAACAGGTCAAAACTTGAAACAGATCAAAACTTGAAACAGACCAAAACTTGAAACAGGTCGAAACTTGAAACAGGTCAAAACTTGAAACAGACCAAAACTTGAAACAGGCCAAAACTTGAAACAGGTCAAAACTTGAAACAGACCGAAACTGACATTAAATTAAAAGCTCTTACTTGTGTTCCATCCCAGATCAATCTTTTCAAGCAGAGGTAAACTTTTGGACAACAGAAAAACACTTTCATCGGAGATCACAGCTGAGGACAAAAGAAAACAACAGAAAAATCAGAAAACCATCATTGACAAGTGTGACAGTAAAATCGGTTAACAATCATTGACAAGTGTGACAGTAAAATCGGAAAACAATCATTGACAAGTGTGACAGTAAAATCGGTGAACAATCATTGACAAGTGTGACAGTAAAATCAGAAAACAATCTTTGAAATGTCAGACAACAAAATAGGGTCCCGATGGCCAGGAGTCAATCCAACTAGGGGTCTGTTCTAAGGAAGCAGAAGACCTGGGTTACAAACATGATCTAAAGCAGACGGGGGAAACAGACCACCAACATGTCAGTCCCACTTCCTAGATCTAAAGCAGATGGGGGGAAACTGCCTACCAACATGTCAGTTCCACTTCCTAGATGTAAAGCAGATGTGGGGAAACAAACCACTAACATGTCAGTTCCACTTCCTAGATCTAAAGCAGATGTGCAGACACTTCCTATCTAATGCTTATCCTTCACAATTCTTCTATATGTGATGAATGTTAACAGCAATTTTAACACAGCATGGTGTTAAATGTATAGGGTAAATGGAAAGTAAAAGAATCTACTCTTGTCTCATTTTACGTAGTTGAACAAACTTTTTTTACCCATGTTGCTGGCGACACTGAGTTCTGTAATGTTATGGCAGTTTGCCGCCAACAGGTCCAGGGGAGTGGAGAAATGACAGCACTCTCGCAACATGAGCCTGTCTAACGATGTGCAAGTCTGAACAACATTATCAAGACCCTCGGAGTCCTCCATTTCATCACACCAGGAGATATCCAACTCTTTCAGCTGGAGGACAACAATGGACACGGTCTTATCATTTCTGTACATTAATTTCCATTTAATTTTTAAAAATGTATTTCTCAGCATTTTTGCTCACACAATTATTATTAAAAGATGGCAACAATAGCAAATATTTATCTCTGCAAGTAATAATTTAAGACATTTCTAAGTTATAAGAAAGAAAACACCCAAGTCTGATTAATTATGATTTATTATTTCTGTCATGGCAAATTATTTTATCAACCTCTCCTTTTATAGACATGTACGTTATTTATTTTATACAATGATAATAAACGTGCAGACAAAATGAATACAACAAAATTCTAACCAGATCTGGCACATTCCTCGAGGCGATGGCGTTGAGAGACGCACTTGTCACACGTGTCTCAGCCAGTTGTAGATGGGACAAATTGAGATTCTGTACCAACTCAATAATAGGAGAATCATCAATTTTGTGCAGCCCTGAAAGAAATGTCAACAAAGATGAAGTCAAGGAAAATGTTGCCACAGTGGATAATAAGTACTTGAGTGTGGTCATAATAAATAAATATTAGCTCTAATTTGTGGAGCAACTAGCCACCAAGAATTTGTTTTGTCAAATATTTTTAAAAGATAACAAAAATTGTGCGAACCATGACAATATGACCTAACATAACATATGGACAATTAGCAACTTTTCTTTAGCAAGGAATAAACACTGTACAGATACAATCATACAGATACATTGAGGTGAAGGGACGGAGGAGTGGGGAATGAGGAGTGGGGAATGAGGAGTGGGGAATGATGAGTGGGGAATGAGGAGTGGGGAATGAGTAGTAGGGACTGAGGAGTGGGGAATGAGGAGTGGGGAATGAGGAGTGGGGAAGGAGGAGTGGGGACTCTTAATGTTAGACACAAGATGATATGCATCAATTGATGTTAGACACAAAGTGATGTGCATCAATTGATGTTAGACACAAAGTGATGTGCATCAATTGATGTTAGACACAAAGTGATGTGCATCAATTGATGTTAGACACAAAGTGATGTGCATCAATTGATGTTAGACACAAAGTGATGTGCATCAATTGATGTTAGACACAAAGTGATGTGCATCAATTGATGTTAGACACAAAGTGATGTGCATCAATTGATGTTAGACACAAAGTGATGTGCATCAATTGATGTTAGACACAAAGTGATGTGCATCAATTGATGTTAGACACAAAGTGATGTGCATCAATTGATGTTAGACACAAAGTGATGTGCATCAATTGATGTTAGACACAAAGTGATGTGCATCAATTGATGTTAGACACAAAGTGATGTGCATCAATTGATGTTAGACACAAAGTGATGTGCATCAGTTGATGTTAGACACAAAGTGATGTGCATCAATTGATGTTAGACACAAAGTGATGTGCATCAATTGATGTTAGACACAAAGTGATGTGCATCAATTGTTGATGTTAGACACAAAGTGATGTGCATCAGTTGATGTTAGACACAAAGTGATGTGCATCAATTGATGTTAGACACAAAGTGATGTGCATCAATTGATGTTAGACACAAAGTGATGTGCATCAATTGATGTTAGACACAAAGTGATGTGCATCAGTTGATGTTAGACACAAATTGATGTGCATCAATTGATGTTAGACACAAAGTGATGTGCATCAATTGATCTTAGACACAAAGTGATGTGCATCAATTGATGTTAGACACAAAGTGATGTGCATCAATTGATGTTAGACACAAAGTGATGTGCATCAATTGATGTTAGAGACAAAGTGATGTGCATCAACTGATGTTAGACACAAAATGATATGCATCAATTGATGTTAGACATAAGGTGATATGTATCAATTGATGTTAGACACAAGGTGGTATACATCTCTGTTTGATCGCTTATGTTCTAGATCTGATTGTCTTTGTTCTCTTTGGGATGGCATTTTAAAAGACATGCCCTTCCATCCTATCCCCTATGAGGGGTTTTTTAAATTTTGTATAGAAGTTACTAATGCCCAGTGAGATTTACTGGTAAGATGGTGTTTTAAGTAGGCCAGTTTACAATCAGCCCATAATTTAAACATGGCAAATTCTCCTTTCCACTTAAGGTTTGTTAAAACAACACACACGCATACAACTCCAATGTCCCAAACAAATCCAATGTCCGGATCAAACTTGAAAGTTTCCCTAAGTTCAACCCAAACTGGGCTGTGTGATTCCACTGCCTCAGTTTCAACCAACTCTTGTAACCAATCACTGCCTCAGTTTCAACCAACTCTTGTAACCAATCACTGCCTCAGTTTCAACCAACTCTTGTAACCAATCACTGCCTCAGTTTCAACCAACTCTTGTAACCAATCACTGCCTCAGTTTCAACCAACTCTTGTAACCAATCATCTTCAAACGATGACACACATTTTGTGTTTAAAAATGTAGCCTCTTTTGAGGATACATATCAAGCCGTGGTAACAAAAGTGCAAGGAGAAGAAAAAGACAGGACATGTGGTACAGGACATGTGGTACAAGACATGTGATACAGGACATGTGGTACAGGACATGTGGTACAAGACATGTGGTACAAGACATGTGGTACAAGACATGTGGTACAGGACATGTGGTACAGGACATGTAGTACAGGACATGTGATACAGGACATGTGGTACAAGACATGTGGTACAAGACATGTGGTACAGGACATGTGGTACAGGACATGTGGTACAAGACATGTGGTACAAGACATGTGGTACAGGACATGTGGTACAGGACATGTGGTACAGGACATGTGGTACAGGACATGTGGTACAGGATATGTGGTACAGGACATGTGGTACAGGACATGTGGTACAGGACATGTGGTACAGGACATGTAGTACTGGTTATTTTTAAACAATTTAATTATTGATAAAATTATAGTAAAATATAAAAAAAAATAGTGAAAAAACGTAAAATAAATTAATTTTGTTTTCTATTTTAAATTTTATGTGTGCCCTTATCTTTTCCTGTGCCCACAGCTTACAGGGAACTGTGATTGTAAGTTGGTCTCACCTGTCAAATCAATTTTTTGGAGTTGTTTACATTCGGCGAGTTTCGCTATGCCAAGATTAGTGATACGGTCGCACGCCTCCACCGACAGACAAGTCAAATTCTGAGCGTGTTCCCCTATAAGTTTTAGCACATTGTCAGTAACGAAGTTGTCTATAGAACCCCCATACAATCTCAAGGTTGCAACATTGCCATTGGCTGTTAAAAATTGTTCGAAACACTGGAGACCCACTTTTTCAACTTCAAATATTGACCCATTTAATGAGAGACTGCTTATGTTAGATTTGAAAAAACTAGCTGCATGCTCAAGAGCATCAAGCTCATAGGAATGGTTCACAGAGGTTTCCCTGCTCATCTCAGAATCTGAGCTCATTGTTGATGCTTCATTTTTAGTTTTGTCTGTGGTCTGAGATTTTGTATCATTTCCCCCTGTTAGCAGATCTCCAGTAACCTTGTGCAGGAACACGCTTCTTTCCGAGGCTGCTTCTGTACTCATTGTTGTTTCCCTTGCAGTTTTTAACTCGTCTGCGGCGGCAGTCAAGGTCAAGGCCCTAGAGAACGCCAAATTCTCTGTCACCGCGCAACACACATGATGTAAACAGATGGTGGAGACGTTTGAGTTTTCCAAAGATGAATCACAGGAACACTGTACGACTGCATTTTCACAACTATTATTATTATGCTGAACACTGCACTCAATGGAAGATTGCTTTTCTGTTGGTTTTATCAACTCACATTGGACATTGCTGCTGATTTCATGTAAAAATGTGAGTGACGGTTCTTTAAGACTGAGTCTGTTCACATCCTGATGTATACAAGCTTCCTGATGACAATTCAATTCTATTTCTTCTTTCACCAAAACAGTATCTGTAGAAGGTGAATATGTGGCAACACCAGTGTCTGTAGAAGGTGAATATGTGGCAACAGCCAAATCCCTGTCGGTGTCATCAGTGACGTCGCAATCTGAGGAAGCACCGAAATGACTTGGGATTGCTGACATACATTTAGGACCAAAGTCCTCTACACAACAAGGTGTCTGTGACACAGATGGATGAAGTCCTATGTCTGTAACACTATTTTTGTCCTTGTCTTTGGAAACGATTCCTGCATTCACACATTTCAAATTCTCTTCCTCTTTTGCGATGGTCATCTGGTCCATCTTTACATCACTCATCATGGCATTTTTACGACGCCACAAATGTCCGAAACATTCTTGCAGCTGACTGGTCCACTTCTTGGTCAGTTCCTGTGAGATCTGATCAAAGTCTTGAAGTGTTGAGACTAGTCTGCAAGTGGTAGGCTGGCCTAGGAAGCCAAAGGAAGCAAAGAGCTGCACGGCTGCGGGCAGGCCATAACCAGACAAGTACAGGAGTGAGGTGCAATCCACCTGGAAGACAGTGACAAAAAGTTCTGTTTAAAATAACAATTGAACTTACAAAAATTAAGTCACAATTTTATTTTTGTTCCAATTTATTATTTTTTTCTATACAAAGAAGGCATTTCAAAGAAAAATGTCTAACCCTCTTAAAATAAAAAAAATTATCATCAGTTTTATTTAAAATTGTAATTGGCATTTACCATTTTATATAATTCACATTTTATTTTTATGTAAATCCCTTCTGGCAAATTGAAAGGGGGTGGCAGAGTTAGCAACATTGTCTGGCTATGCTGGCATCCGTCCGTCACAATGTGACGATGGAGTGGGCTTCAGAGGATGAAATCCACATGGCCTGGGATTATTCTTCAAGTATTATAAGCTGGTTCCCAACAGCAAATTGCTTCTCTCCACGCCGCTGGATAGCCCAATGTTTCATTTTATCAATGTTATCCGCCTTTCGGGACTCCATCTCCGGGTTTTGATTTCAGAGTTTCCTTCTCTTAGATGAGTTGCCTTCCAAGGTTAACGAGTCCCATCTACCCGGGGTGCTGGTGGTGTTTTTGCTTGACTGGGCTCTTGCTGGATTTGATCTCCCGACCACCAACTTGAGATTTGCTCAGTTTAGACCACTTGGCCACCCAGCACCCTGTCTGGCTATGAAGACTTAATAAACAGTTGTCAAAACAGGAACATTAAAAGGCCAGGACAGACACTACATAAACACAACTACTCTAAGAAAATAGATCTTGTCTGTTTAAGGAACCATCTAAGAAGCGTAAAACCTCAGGAAATGGGAACTCATGAGACAAGGAAGGCGTAAGTATAGAACTTGATGAGTTCACAGGCTACACAACATAGCAAAGGCATTGACCCCACAACTGTCAGATACAAACACATTTTAGCGGACTAATAAATCTAAGTCATGCAGACCAATGATCACCATTTAAGGTGGCGGTTCTCAACCTGTGCCTCGACCATTTCACACGGGTCGCCCAAGACCATCGGGAAACACATATACTTACAGTTATGAAGTAGCAACAAAAATAACTTTGTGGTTGGGGGTCGCCACAACACGAGGAACTGTATTAAAAAGTTGCTGCATTAGGAAGGTTGAGAACCACTGGTTTCAGGCAGAAGCAACTTTTCATTCCAGTATTCATTCTCTGTCTGTCGTCAGAGTTAGCCATTTCTTTCACAGGACCAGGTAAAACAAGACACCTGTGTTATTTCAGTTATCTTGAAAGCAAAAGAAAAACTTAACTAAGGGATGAAAAACAATGCAGAAAATTTAGTCATCATTACTTTAGTCCAGGATAGATTAACGGACTGCAGTGTTGGCCCACATAATGTACATAAGTGGCGAACTCCAGTGCTGGAAAAGTATTTGCACCTCGAGACATCAACTGTCCGCAGTTTGCAATCATAGTTGTCAACTATCGGAGTCATCTGAAAAAAAATGAAGTTTAAATGAGAAAAATAAAAATGGAATGCACATTCTGTTTTTATCTCAAATGAATTCATCACTTCTAAAAGTGTAAGTATATGTTGAGTTGGAGCAATGATATATTTTAAACAAAAATCTGACCCATAAGCACTGTATAGCAGCATTGAGACCTAATACCTCTAGATCTGACACATAAGCACTGTGTAGCAACATTGAGACCTAATACCTCTAGATCTGACACATAAGCACTGTGTAGCAACATTGAGACCTAATGCCTCTAAATCTGACACATAAGCACTGTGTAGCAACATTGAGACCTAATGCCTCTAAATCTGACACATAAGCACTGTGTAGCAAGTCAGACCAATATTCCCTCTAAGGTTTGCTGGTTGGTGTGCAAAATCGTACAGTTGTGTTCAAAGTTTTACAGCATAAATTTTTGTGTGTGCAAAATTTTACAGCCCACAAACAAAAACACACACTTACATGGAAATTTGCTGCGCGGATACTCAAAACTGCTGCGCGCGTCTGTGAGTTAGCTGCATGGCCACACAGCTGAAAGGGAACATTGGTCGAGACCTAATGCTTCTAGATCTGACACATAAGCACTGTGTAGCAACGTCAAGACCTAATGCTTCTAGACCTGACACATAAGCACTGTGTAGCAAAGTCAAGACCTAATGCTTCTAGATCTGACCCATAAGCACTGTGTAGCAACACCGAGACCTAATGCTTCTGGAGGTAGGAAATCAGCAGCTTAATTGACATGTGATTAAGATTGTCTAAGCTCAGTCGCAAACAAGACAGATAACTTTTTTCAAAGAATGGTGAGAATGAACCTTTATATGGCTCTATTCCCTTGAATGGGGGTCGATGTTAAAAAAGTCAAACTAAAATGGTTACCTTAAAACAAATTTCTCTTTTCAGCTGTCCCACATCATTGAGAAGAAAGACATTATCTGAAATATTACAGTGTGCAATATTCAGGGACATCAATAAGGGGGCATTCTTCAGCAATGCCTGCAAACAAGATTCAGAATTAATATTTTGTCACATTTTATAAAAAAATTGGACTATATGTATATAATGTGTTGAGACCTAATCTTGGTCAGGGATGGGAACACCCAAATGGCCTCACTGATGAATAGGATCATGAATTAACTTTTCATGGGCGACATGTCGTTACACCTAATAAATTAAATAAACACTTATTGAATTCTGTACAGAGTTTTGAGTTCATTCTTAATGTACATACTGAATTGAATGTTAATTCTTAATGTATATACATAAGTCAAATACAAAAAATCAAAATGAAACTAAACTTATGTAATTTTTGTCGTTCTATCCCATCATTTAACATTTTTTTTTAAACTCAATATGAAAATTTAATGAAGAGTTGTATTTGTGATACAACCAACATCTGGCACAGGCCAGCCATACCTGATTTTGATTTATCAATTCCATAGAGAGAAAAAAAATAATGAACTAGCCTTCTTAAATTTTTATAAGAATTTATCTTACATCACCAAAAAATTAATGATATGGGTGAGATTGACATGATACCTGTATGTTGACATCATCAACCTGAGGACAGTCTTCTAGTACAACAGTGGTCAGTTCATGGCTGATGGCAGTCTTGTTGAATGAAAATAGCTGTGTTTTATCAAATTCAAAATGAGGGTTCTCAGACAAGTCCAGGAGCTTAAGATGCTGACATCTGTGAAAAGGTATATTGCAAAGAAGGTTAAAATGTGAAAAGAAATGCACAAAAGAAAGAACAAAATTATTGATAAAAATATCATTAAAGTGCCAAGACTACAACTTTATGAAATATATACATCTTCAGGTTTCTGATTTCAGTTATTTCATCCCGTCGTAATGTTGATGTTTCTATTGAAGTTATGAAAGAAGACTGTGTTGTTTAATTGAGAAATTATATTTTTCTAGATAACTTAACCTTGTCAACAGTCAGAAATCAGAATAAATCCAATTCGTTTACCCTGTATAATCATTTCAAAATTCATTAGTAACTTTTTAAAAAAAATTGTAGCATCGTCCCATATCTAGCTTTCAAATAGGCTGGCATTTGTTTTTCTGTCTCTGTCCTCATTCTTTCTTTAAAATGTTAGATGCATTCTTTTCTCTAACAAAAAAATCTTTGACAATTATTATTTACCTAAAACAAATTTATCATGTTGAATAAAATGTTATCTCAATACGTTTATTGTTTAATACAACAACAAAAACAACCAAAAAAAGTGTTGGGGGGGGGGGGATATTAATTAATTTTGATGTAAGGAAGAAGGTTACCTACAGGTAACATTTTTGCCTCTATGGATTTAAATTTGTTTCAATAAGTTAATTACAAAATTAAATTTATCATGTTGAATAAAAAGTTATCTCAATACGTTTATTGTTTAATACAAAAACAAAAACAACCAAAAAAAGTGTTGGGGGGGGGGGGATATTAATTCATTTTGATGTAAGGAAGAAGGCTACCTACAGGTAACATTTTTGCCTCTATGGATTTAAATTTGTTTCAATAAGTTAATTACAAAATCTTCACAGCATGCCACAATGTGATGTGCGTTTAAAAAAAAAATTATCACAACTTAAACTTGACCAGAGCTGACCTGTTCACTACTGTGTTAAGACACTTTTCTGTTACCAAGGGACACTCTTTCAGGTGAAGCTCTTTTGCATTTAAGGGTAAAAGGGCCTCCAGGATTCTGAAAAGAATAAAAATATAAGTCATATTAATATTTCAACGCTCAAAGTAATTCGGATTAAGTTAAATTCTTCTCTATGCCTCCTAAGTTTCATAATAAATAAGTTCAAGATTTCTTTAAAAAATTTGTATTACTTACATTGGTGTGACTTTGTGCCTATAAAATTTCACTAGTCTGTCAAGCAGACATTTACTTTCCTCTCCCCACGAGCCTTGATCAAGCACCTTGATTAACTTCAGACATTGCATCTCCATAGTTAGACATGGACAATCTTCGTTAATGATACATTCAATAATTGTGAGGACTGAAAAGTGTTTCAAGGTTGGTACTTCCATTGTTGAGAAATACCAACAAAGGGACTTTGATCTTGTTGTACGATGTATTCAAATTTAAACTAGGCCGACACTTGGATTAAAATAAAGATAGATATGATCTCTGGCTGTAGTTATTTTATTGAAGGGTATTTCTCATTAACTGAAGCATTCAATAGCACACTAGGTCAGAAGTGACAGTCCTAAAAAGACAAAGTGAAAAATACAATTTACCCACAATCAAGACCTTTTAAAAATGTATGACCCGGGCCTACTATGTTAATGAGAAAGATTGTGAGATGGTATCCAAAAGGAGGTTGTGTCCTCCTTTTTCAATTAAAATCATGCGTCCTTCACCAAACCTTATATGTCCTCCTATTTGATAAAACTTTGTGTAGTGGATAAATAAGAGTATTAAGAGTATAGTTTCAGCTTTCACTACACATAAAAG